AATTACCGTCACTTGTAACTGTAAAGAATATAGCTGTGTGCAAAATACTCATGGTTGCTAAGTGTAGCTGTGTGCAAGACACTTAGTTGGCATAAGAGTATAGCTATGTGCGAAGTACGTACTCGTAGAAGAGTGTAGCTGTGTGCGAAACACTCGGAGTTGGGTGTAGCTGTGTGCAAAACACTCGAAGAAGTGCTTGTGTAGCACTTATTCACTATTGTAACTGTGTGAGAAAATAGTGAATTACTCTTAGACGTGAAAGGAGTAAAGTGGACTAGTTAGATTACGCCACTTCCGAACCACTGTAAATTCTCTCTCTCATTTACTTACTGCACTTACTTAATATGCTTTGCATATTATTTAACTAACTAGGGCTGTTAACGAACCGAACATAAACGAACAGAGGCTATTCGTGTTTGTTTGTTAAGCTTTTTAGGATGTTCGTGTTCGTGTTCGTTTGTTAAGCTTTTTGAAAATCATGTTCGTGTTCGTTTGTTAATCGTTTATTAGTGTTCGTTAACGTTCGCGAACATGTTCGTGAACGTGTTCGTTAACATTAACAAACACGTTCACGAACATGTTCGTTAACAATCACGTTCACGAACATGTTCAATAACGTTAATGAACACGTTCATGAACATGACACGTTCACGAACATATTCATTAATGTTAACAAACATGTTCACAAACAACAACCAAATAATTGAAATAAACAACATAACTATATATAAAAATAATAAAAACAAGATTAAAAGAATACACAAACTGTTTGTTAATCTTACAAGCCAAAATCATCAAAAGTAAATTCAAGTTAAGATGTAGATTCCGCATCTTGCATTTTCTATCTATCTCAAAAATGGGTAAAGCAGCTCTGGGATGCAGCATATGAACTCACCAAAAAATTGTTTGCCAAATAGAAACTATTGTCATCATTGTAGATATTTACTAGATTTCAATAGCAACTGTCATTTATCAAGAATAGATGAACTTATCACTGTGAATACCCTGATTCGGTTAAGGCGTTTAATTATGATTCATTTTCTTCTGAACTAGAAACCAACAATAGATCTCATCTCCAATTCCCACAACGATTTATCAGCCAAACACTGGAGAATCTGAACACAAACCATAATCAAAATAGAAGCTCATAGCTAGTTAAGGGTGAAAAATAATTAAAGACCTTAGCAAAAAAGAAAGTAAACCTTTTAGCATTTGCAATGACAAAGGCTTCTAAAGCCTACTTTGGATAACAAGAACTTTGCTACATACTTCCCAATTCTATGGTCTGGTTCTTGGTTCCCAATTCTATCTCCGGGTTCGTGCTGCTTGTACTTTAGCTTCTCGCAATCAATTCAATCATTTTACCCATTCCAAGACCAGATAGCTCCACCTCATTGTGCTGCTTCATATACATTTGTAGAAAACTCAGAAATCCCAAACTCAATTATATAATCACACACATATACCCATAATCACAAATATATATGTATGCTACTTGATATTATATATAAAAAATAATACATACAGAGACACAAACAAAGATATTACTCCTTTTTAGCTTCAGATCCAGAAAACAAACAACAATACTTCACATACGTATTTTACACAAACTCATACCCATTTAATGTTGTCGATCCCTCTGTTTCCTCCACTACTGATTCATGATTCCCTTCAAATGAACCCTAACCCTTCAAATTACAGGAAGGAAAAAGGAATATGATTACGTGAATGAGAGAATCAAGTAAACTAGAAATTGTGTACATAGGAACTAGAAATTGAGATGAAACACTAACAAAGAAGAAAGGGCATAATAGAAAAACAAAATTACATAAAAATAAATAAAAGTAAAAGAGCTCAGATCCTCGTGGAGAATACCAGGTACGTGGTGGGTTCAGCGGTAGTGGACGTGGCTTCGGTCTGGTGCGGCGGTCTGCTTCACGGTACCGGGTACATGGACGCCACCGGCGGTGATGGAGGATGCGGCGGCGGTGATGATGGGTTGGTGGCTATGGCGGTGGTTTTGGTGATGGTGGCTACGGCGGACGTCGCCGGCGGTGGTGGGTTGGTGGCTTCGCTGCCTGCTGCGGACTTCTCTAGTTCCCTACCAGAAGAGTAGGGAGGAATTGGCAGAATGGAGGAATGAGGATGGCTGCGAGGACTAAATGAGTTAAAAACCCTAAGACAATAAAATTACCTTATTAACATGTTCGCGAACATTATTAAACGAACACTAAACGAGCTTGTTCGCGAACAATATTAAATGAACATAAACGAGCTTGTTCACGAACATTATTTAACGAACACAAACGAGCTTGTTCACGATCTCTTAGTAAACGAGCTTACAATTGTTCAAGCTCTGTTCGTTTATTAACCGAGCTCTAAATTTTGTTTGTTAATGTTCGTTTACCTTAACAAACGAACATAAACGAACGCTTATCGAACACGAACACGAGTAGTTTGCCGAAAGCTCTGTTCGCTAACACCCTATAACTAACCTAGTTACTATTCATTGCTTAACTTTATATGATTGGATTTGTTGATTTTCACGTATGCATGTAACTCACGCTTTCCGTATCATTGCTTAATTATTTCAAGCATATCTAATGTGTAGCATGTGCTAAATACCTCTCACATCACCTCATTTTGAGCACAACACTTGCGTACAATAATTCCGTTGTGCAATCCAAATTGAATACTTGGTTATCTATTTATTACATGGAGTTGAAATTACCAAAGTGTTATTAATTGTGAAACAGTTTAGAAAGTCTATTTACCCCCCCGCCCTTAGACTTTCTACCACCCTATTGGGACCAACAAAAGTTATAATACAAAATAATACTATATATTTATTTAATTACCAAGTATTTTATTAATACCATGAAAAAATTAAAAAATATATAATTAAGCCAATCATATTAACTACTTGAGGGATTTGTGGACAAAGAGAGTATTCAAATCACACAACAAATTGAAGTGGAAAACTACCTCGCAATGTCCTTGTTTGACAATCAGCAGTTAGCGGTTAACGTTAGCGGATTATATTAGGAGATTTGACCAGCGAATTATATCAACGGTTGGTAAAAAGATATTTAAAAACATTAACTATTTAGATTAACATGTAAAATGACCTAAGGGTATACATAATAATAATAATAATAATAATAATAATAATAATAATAATAATAATAATAATAATAATAATAATAATAATAATAATAATAATAATAATAACAATAATAATAGTTTAAAAATAATAATAATAATTTAATAAAAGAAATAAAATTAAAAAAAAAACATATGGTGAGTCGAACGTTCGGCTCCCCTTAGTTTTGCCACTTATCCCACATCGGTGGGAAAAGTAGCATGGGAGCCTTGAGGCTCCTATAAAAGGAGCCTTAAGACTCCAATTTAAAAATTAAGCTTGCCCATATGTTGATAGGCAAGCACTGAGCCAACAAAACTGAGTCTTGTTATTCAAGGAGTCAAAATGACTCTACAATAAACTTTTTTTTTTTTTTAAATATAGAGATTTTTTGTAAATTACAGTGTTTGTATTTTCAGTGGTTTGGAACAAATTGTTGCTTCAAACTATTGAATAACCAAACACTTTCTTTAGAATTTTGATCTTTGGGTTACATCATATTTACCAATCGTCCAATATCTTTGGGTTACATTATAATTAAAATTTTTAAACAATAATGGTTGAACTAAATGAACACTGAGCAAAACAATAATTGATCTTATATATAAATGCATTCATTTCTTTACTTAAAAATGTCTTTTTCGGACCATGGTTCACGGTATAACAACCGCTCCATCTCCCATTTTCTTTCCTTTCCCCTCTTCCTAATTTTTCTTTCCCCTCCTTCCATTTGAAGACTTAAAAGTCTTCATAACCATCCAACAAGTCAACAACTACTCCCAAACTTATTCCTTATTTATTTTATGTAATTAGTGAGGAAGTTTTTGTTCTACTACTCCCCCACTTATTCCTTATTTTATGAAATTAGTGAGGTCGTTTTTGTTAGTTTCCCCTACTTATTCCTTATTTTATGTAATTAGTGAGGACGTTTTTGTTGGTTTCCCCTTGGAAGCTGCCATTAGTAGAGGATTAGGAAGATTAGGGGATTAAACAATTGTTTGGCTGTCCCTTAATCAGCCAAAACAATTAAAAGAAAATCTTTGGTTGCCTTATTCTTCTGCCGAAATCTAAAGAAAAACAACCATTTCGCAACTTGTGAAGATCAAACACGCAACCTCAAGCTGAATTGGTATGCGTGTTCCAACTCACCAGACTACTCCATCTCTTGAATAATTACTTATAGGAAGTTTAAGGGGTCACGTGTCGAGTAGTCGACATGTCCGCCACGTGTCCTCCATATACTCGGTGATCTGGTTGCTAAGGAAAAACGTCCAACTATAAGGACGTGTTTGATTGACCATCGCTTAGTGGTATATGTTTGAATGCTAAGTATGTGTGGTGCTCGGGATCTCGACCCAATTACTCAGGTCGGGACTGAGCTCCGAAGAATAAAGTCAAAGGCCCATGAAGCCAACAAGACGCCTAGCCTCCCGATCGAGTCGCTCAGGCGATAAATTCAGGTCGGGGATTGCCAATCGCTTCTCTGTGATTCGTATCTAACCAGCTCCTTAGTGTAAAAGGGTTCGTAGCCTGAGATATATTCCCTATTAGTTCTCATATGTTTTCTAATATATACATAATAATAATAATTATACATACACTTGACAAATATAATTAGTTAGATAACATAATTCAAATAAAATATACATAATAAATAACACATCATCTATATTGATATTATATTAAAATTAAAAAATACAAATTAAAAATATAAATAAGTTACAATTTTAATACTATATAACAAAATCCCTAAATTCATATACTAATAAAGAGTATGTAGGAGAAAAATCTTAATGTAAAAGGCTTGTCCTTGTCCAGGACCAAGCCTGCAGTATAATTATGCAATGGTTGATGGGTTATTGGCACATCCACTCATTGATTGAGAAAAAAAAGTAAAAAACTTGTTATCTGAATACTTTGAAGTGAAAGAGAGATCTATCGAGATGGCTTGTGTTGCGTTGACTTCCCTCATGGCAACAATTAAGCTAGAGTTTCTGCAACCAAATCCAAGCAGGGTTCCTCTTGATGATGAAGGGCCGGGGTTTATATCAATGGAAACTTTGTATGAAAAGCTTTCATCTTTGCAAGCTTTTCTGCAGGAGAAATCAGGCGCAGGGGGTGGCACTGCAATCAGAGGTGTGGAGATACAGATCAGAGATTTTGCACTGGATGCCGAAGACCGCATTGAAATACAACTAAGCAACTTTCTTGTGGCCAAGAACGGAGAGGATCAACAAAAAGCTGCACATAAACTCCATCAAACCTTGCGAAAAGCAGCAGAAAACGCAGCAGAGTTGCTGGAAAAAAGCAAGGAAACAGATGATAAACAAGTGGTGAACAAAAGTGAAGGACCACTGATGATTCCTTATTGGTTAAAACATGCTTTGGCTTCGGAGCCCAGCAATGTCGTTATGGTCGGTCGTGCCCGTGATTGTGAGCGGATAAAGGACCACCTCTTCTTGGGCACTTGGTACCTAGAAGTGCTCTCAATTGTTGGAATGGCCGGCATTGGGAAAACAACTTTAATTAGTAGTGTCTATCAAGATCCAGAAGTTGCATCGCATTTCGATGTAAGAAGTTGGGTTTCTATGCCGGGGGGATACAATAACGTGAGCCAACTGCTACTCGCCCTTCTTTGGACACTACTACCAGAGCCAGATGATGAAATTAGAAAGGGAATCATTCCTGATGATGATGATCTAGCAGCTGAGCAGGTATACAAATGCTTGAAAGGTAAGAGATATCTAATTGTTTTGGATAACTTATGGAACAGTCAAGGTTGGCATGGTATAACAAGTTGTTTGCCTGAGGATAAAAATGGAAGTCGCATAGTGATAACCACTAGGCATATTTCAAGGAGGGGGGATCATTATGTTTTCACAGATTGTAGTACTCATAATATGACTTTGCTAAATCCAGAAGAAAGTTGGACTTTATTTTGTAATAACCCTTTTCTCAAACTGGAGGAACATAAGGCACCACCTAAATTTCAAGAAATTAGGAGCCAAGTTGTAGAGATATGCGAAGGATTGCCACACACAATTCTTGTAGTTGCAAAACGTCTATCTGAGTGTGACAACATAAAACAAGAATGGAAGAAGGTTGAAAAGCAAATAGAGTTGCTTGGAGTTCTAGATAGGAGGGTACTGACCCACACTTACAATCAATTGTCACAACGTTTAAAAGTTTGTTTTCTATATTTTGCAGTCTTCCCAAAACGCAGTGCAATCAAAGTGAAACGACTTATTAGGTTATGGATTGCTGAAGGATTTATTAATCCATTGGAGGGAAAGGAGTTAGAAAGTCAAGCCTATGAGTATTTACAAGAGTTCCTTGATAGAAGTCTTATTCTAATTGACCATTGGAGTTTTTGTAGAAAAAATAAGAAATGTAGGATGCATAGTGCCTTACATAGCTTTTGCGTAAGAGAAGCTCAGAAAGAGGGCATTTTTTGTGCTTTTAATACTCTGCAACTTCCACGAGGGTCATTTGGCATGTTTGCAAATTCATGTCGCTGGTTAAGCTTATACACACATAAATTTGACTATTATGTGTTGTTAAGAACAAACAACCCTCGCTCCATTTTTTTCTTTCAAGAAGATGCTGATATATTTATATCTTTCAAGTTGCTTAGAGTTTTGGCTTTTGCTCCATCTTCGTTTCTTCAAAGAGTGCCAACACACTTACATGATTTAGTTTTTTTGAGATACCTATCTGTATCTGAATGGTTTGAGGGTCTTGAGTATGTAGTGTTAACCAATCGAAACTTGCAGACACTTGTTGTTTCTAGTAAAGAATCCCAACTTGGAACACCTACTATTCATTTGCCCTCAATAATTTGGGAGTTACCGCAGTTACGACATCTTGAACTTGACAAATCTTATGTAATTGATCCTCCAGACATGGATAAAGATAATATGCAAACATTATTTTGGGTGTGTCCAACTCATTGCAGAACAGGAGTATATTGCAGGTTTCCAAACATTGAAGATTTGAAAATCTTTGTTTCTGGAGGCAATCCAATTACTTTGGATAATCTTGATTGTTTGGAACAACTTGAGATGCTAACAATTTCAGTTTTGTTAGGCCATGTTGTAACCCTTCCAAAACGATTTTGGTTTCCTTCACAACTAAGGAAGTTGAGCTTGAATGGTATTAACCTTTCGGAGAGGGATTTAACGGTAATTGGCAAGATACGTGAGCTTGAAGTTCTCAAGTTGAAAAATGTCTTTTATGGAAAAGTATGGGAAGTAGAAGAAAGTCGATTTCGTAATTTAAAATTCTTGCTTCTTGAAGATAAAACGCTCAAGAAATGGAGAGTTGATGAAAATTCGCTTAATTGGCTTGGGCGCTTAGTCCTAAGATTTTGTTATTGTTTAAAAAAAATCCCTCTTACTATGGAACATATTCGGATCTTGGAGTCAATTGAGTTGCAGCAGTGTTGTCCTTCCGTTGTCACTTCTGCAGAGGATCTCCAACGTAAAACTAACAGACAAGGCCCAACTTTTGAGGTTAGAATTGAAGCTATTTTTAGGTTATTAGAATAATCTTCTAGTTTAGCCTTGTCATCCTTAGCTTTATTAATATCTCATTTCACTTTCTTCATTCTTAATTTGCATCCTGTTTTTCATTTATATAGATCAAAATCGTGGGACCTGAATATGATGAATCACAATGTACAGACATAGAAGAGTCTATACCTTCAGATGATGAATGACGATGACAAGCTAATGTATGGATGCAAGCTAGAATTGATCGAATCACAAAAATTCTTGGTTACCAACTAACTACATATTCTTAACATTTGCAGAACTGATAATGCTGTGAAGAATCAGTTCACGACCCTCTGCAAAAAGAGAGCGAAGAACGAGGCATTAGCATAAGAAAACAGTAATTCATTCATTAATATAATAGGAGGGTTATCTTTCCAAGTTGGCTCAGCATTTCAGAATCTGCAGTGCCCCTTAAGAAGCAAAGGTAAAATTCGTTTAGTGTGCTTCAACTCTATATGATCACACTTCCGTAAATAACGTTTGGTTTTTGGCGTTTAGGAGGAGTCACATTCCAGACCCCCCTAAAAGTTTTAGCAACAGGGAAAAATCACTCGTGAGTTGCGATGCAACGAATCAGATGCTAAGGTCTCCATTTGCAGTAATAGGTCAAAATCTCTACAGTCCAAGGAGCAATGTATCGAGTCATCAAAATGAAGAGGACGCCAAAGATTCGCACGCCAATGGTAAATAATCTGATGCAATGTTTGGCTCTTAACACACCATTAGGTTATATATAAGTCAGAAAAGTCATTTAGAGTTTTAGACCATGAAATATTTTATAAGTTCTTTATCTTTTATAATTAACACCGGTTTTGGATCAAGCAGGCTCTAGCAATAAAACCGAAGTAACATTTCTTAAGAAGGATGATCCGAAGATACTCGCATTGATGCAACAAGCGGAACTACTGAGCTCGCTGGCACTCAAAGTCAATTCCGAAAAACGAGCATTCTTGTATGGAGGAATTCAGCCAATATCGATCCCTCTTTTGCAATATTCTGTATTATGTTGTCTATATGTTGTTGTTTGTTCACATGATAACGGCTCAATCAGTGGAGACGGAGATGCCAAATTTCTGAGATGGAGATTCAGCTCGAGAATTTTAAGCAATCTGCAAATGAATTAAAAAGCATTAATGAATGCAGTCAACCATCTTGGAGGTATTGTCACGTGCAAGCTAAATATGTTACTCGGGAATGTTTGTCCACACTAATATATTGTTGTGCAGGCAACCTGCTTTATCAGAAGAGTCTGCAGGCAGCTCGGAGTATAGCACGGGATCAACTTTACTAGCCCACGGGGTTGGTGATAATAGAGAAAAGAGCGAAGCCGAGCTATGTGCATTGCATCAGGATATTGAATCAGGATTACAATCAACCCACATTGATGATGAATTTGCCAAAGGAATTTCTGGGAATAATGCCTCGACTTCTCAAGGTGTGAAAGACTTCTACTTTATGCAAGGTATTTTTAATCGAACTAATAGCCAATTCCAGCTTATAAAACTTGTTTGTTTCCCGTCGACATGTTCCCAGCTTGTGACAAAGTTAATCCCGTTAATGAGACCATATGTGAGTATTCAAATGAAGAATGTTGTTCCCCTCTTCAAGTAACCCCGATGTTCAGATCACTAGCAGCAGCTATTCCCAGCCCAAAATTTTCAGAAAGTGTAAGTAACACCCTTCATTGTTTCACTATCTCACCTAAACTCGATTCAATGCTGACACTATTTCTTTCATTCGTTTTCAGGAGAGACAATTCCTACTAAAAATGCTTGGAATGGAATCTACGTCTCTGAATCCAAGCATCAATCCTTCTCATCCTCCATCGTGCAAGATGGCCCTCCTCCATAGAACTTACGATTCTGCGGGGCTCAACCACCATGACTTTTCGTCCAAAAATTTCAGGCATGTGTAGATTTTTTTAAAAGCCAGTTTTCCATTGGATTGCAGTCATTATGACCTGAGTTTTTACAAAGAGGCCATGAAGATCTGGTCCCAAAGACCACAATCTAGAATGCAATGGAGCATCCTAGTATTTCCCGAATATCTGATAAGATGGTCTGCATCCTTTCTCAACTTACCAGCCTATATAATACAGTGTCTTAGAGTGTTGTTTTTTTGTGTTGTGTCACATTTTTTTGTGTGTTGTATGGGATAGTTGGATAGGGCATCCAATAACGTTCCCATAAGGCTTTTTACGGTATTTATATGTCAATTGTACAGAATATATAGAATGTAGTTACAGATTGACACATCGCCAATGATATAGAACATATCAAAAAGAAGAATACATTGATAGAAGAGAGGAGGATCAACATCAACCAGTTGAACTGACCCCTCCCTCCCTAGCGTTTTTGCTTCGTGTGCAGAGTTAGATAATAAGTTTTGTGGTGCTCTTCTGTTTCTCTCATCTTTATGTAACATTTAACTCGTACTTTTATTGGAGTGGAAAATCCAATATTGCCCTTTGTTTGTATATATGTCTCAGAAAGCAAATTACTTAGAGCTGAACAAGATTTGGACTAACGATGTGTTGTTAGGATCGAATGTTTTACTGGCACATTTTTGTGAGGCAGAATGTTGGACTTGACCCTTCAGGTCTCCGCTCAACATTCCCCTTAACCACATAGTGCTGGACTTGGTCTTTTGCCGGCTTCTGCCTAACCAGATGCACATATCACATATGCATGCCCAAAGACCACGGAAGGATTATAAAACGAAATTTTCTTGGATACATAGAATAGGAGAAGAGTTGAGAGAGTTTCTTACACTTTTTTTGTAGCTTTTGTGTGGCCATGAATTCAGAAACTTCCTTGATAGCACCTACTGGAGATCTGCAATGGGGTAAGGTGTTGTGGGGAAGAAGCTAAGGGGTCTGAGAAACTCTCTCTGTTATTTAAGTTGGTCAGAGGGCAAAGTGTGATCATGGCAGTATGAAGAAAGTAGGGGAGGGACCTCTTTGCAAATTAAAGTGTGGAGTATAGTGGCAGTCATTTAAGTGAAAAGACTAATTTGATCTTCATTCAATTCCCATTCTCAAGTCTTGAGTCGGAAGGGGGTATTATGGTATATGTACATGCTAATGGTTCTCCAACAAGGGCCCAAAGTTGAGATCTCATCATTGAAAACAGAAAAGCAAACATTAACATATATAACACAACGATTACAGTTTGGGTCCATCTCTCAAATTTGAACTTTTGAGTTTTGACTGTAACAACAGTTTCAGAACATAAATCAGTTGACCTTAAACCAAATATATATTTGATTCTAATCTTCACAGTTCATGAGTAATTAGATGCAAGAATTGCTTTCAAAAGCGTTATTGATATATAAAAATCATGGACTTCCTCTGATCTTCTTTTGCACCATCCTCTAAGAAAACCAGTTGCCACTCAGCAAAGAAGACACTACATACAAATGCTGACAAACTTTGTTGTTGTGATGGTTGTGTTGGTCAGCGGACCAAATCGACTAATGGTTAGGAGAGATAAAGTTCTGGACTTCTGGCCAACAGATCTTCAACTATATATAAGAGGGAAACTTGAAAGATATGCCATGTCTGCAGCTTCTGTTGGGCATTTTGTCCTGTTTGCTAAGCCACTTAGCCATATATGATGGAAGGTCCAACATACCAACTGGATGTATTTGTAATCCCTGCACTCCAGTAGCTCCACCAGGGAGTGCCGCAGCTTCCATTAGACCAAATCTTTATCACTTCATGAAATATTGAAATCACACTGAATATTAAGTTGGTGTATCAGCCTGAAACACTACAGCTATAGATCATAAGAAGCTTACTCAGAAATGACCATATCAAACAGACCACATTTTTTACTATATCCAACCAGGTGGCATTTGAGAATCAACATTCAACTTTGGACAGCCAGAAGGGGGCAGAAATTGACTTTCTTGAAAAATATATTTTCCAGAAGCTCTTAATAAGTAGACTATCTTATTCTGCACTGTTTGGAGGGCTGTTGGCTCATCCACTCATTGATTGAGAAAACTTGAGATCTGAAATTCTGAATAATTTGAGAGAGAGAGAGAGAGAGAGAGAGAGAGAGAGAGAGAGAGAGATGGCTTGTATTGCTTTGAGCTCTCTCGTGGCAACAATGGAGTTGGAGTTTCTGCAACCCAGTCCAAGGGTTTCTCTTGATGATGAAGCATCTATATCAGTGGAATCTTTGTTCGAAAATCTTTCATCTTTGCAAGCTTTTGTGCAGGAGAAATCCGGAGGTGGCACTGCGATAAGAGATTTAGAAATCAAGATCAGAGACTTTGCACTCCATGCTGAGGACCGCATCGAAATACAACTAAGCAACTTCGTTCTGGCCAAGGACACACAGGATCAACAAAAAGCTTCCCAGCAACTCCACCAAATCTTGGGAGAAGCAGCAGAAAACGCAGCAGAGTTGCTGAAAATCATAATCAACCAAGCTGATGATGATGATGATGATGATGAGGCCAATGAAAGTGATGGTCAACCACTAATTCCTTGGTTAAAAAACAATGATACATCCTTACGGCGTTCTTCAATGGTCGGTCGTTGCCGTGATCATACGATGATAAAGGACATACTGTTGGAAAATATTCCCAACGTCAACCCCAGGCTGGAAACCTTTTAAGAAGCACGGACACAACGGGTATATGGCTGAAAGGAAATCTGTCCCGTGTTATAATAGCACTACCTTAAAAGTGTTATTTGTCCGGTAACGGTGCAGTTAGAATCCTGACACGCTTTCGACATGCTACACAGACTAACAACGTTTAGTTCAATTCGCACCAACTATAGCGTAAGTGAACCTGACTTTGCTCAGACCTAGGGAAATAAAACTCATATAGAAGTGAAAGGCTTTTTTTCAAACCGTGCATCCTAAAAATGGAAGGAAGGCTGCTTATATACTGATTAGTATGACAACTTCCTTCCTGCTAGCCACAACTCAACTATAATTAAGGGGGGAATGACTTGAACGTGTGGCTATGGAATTGTGTAACCACAACTAAAAATTCAAACATGGGCCACAATTATAGCTTTAGAATGGACGTGTGGAAATCTCTTGTACATTGAATGTAATTCCAACAATCCCCCACACATTCAGAGTAGAAGACTAGAAAGAAAGTAAAGTTTGAGCAATACAAACGAGTTGATCTTAATGTCAATGTTTGAGAACTTGAACTGACATGTAGTGACACTGAGTAATTTTCTTCCCGAGAGTGATATGAATCTTGAACTCACCGGTTAGATAAATTTTGAACTCTAATGCACACACCAACTCTAAGTAGCAGGTTCTACAAAAGTCAAACTCTTTGACTTCTTATGAATACCCTTAGTATTCAAGTCTGTTATGTCTATCTTAATATAGATCTCCACCCTATCAAAGTCTATCTCACTATAGACTTTTAACCCTGACAAGCCTTATTGCATTATAGATTTTTATGTTTTTTCAAGTCTATCTCAATATAGACTTTTAACTCTATCAAGTCTGTCTATCTCAGTATAGACCACCTTTAAAGGCTTATAGAGAAGTTAAAGACATAAATCAGTTATAAGTCTTTTCTTCCTATCATGGAAACTGTTCTTTGCAATGCAAATGACAGTTTGTGAATCACAATTTATATGTAGTGAAGGCGTTAGCTAGACACCCCCACAACTCCACATTTATCAACATATTTCTTAGCCACTCATCTTATTGGGATATCCACATTATCTTTCATAAGAGGCGGTTAACCCTTTTCCACTCAAGTCAGGGATCTCTTTAGGTCTACCTCAAAATAGACCACCCCAATTGAGTATAAGTCACTAAGAGCACTTTTGTACTCAAGTCATTATGCGGTGAATTCATTAGGTTTGTCTCAACAAACCCACCCTTCTCAAAGAGCTATGAATTCATTAAGAGCTGTAGCTCAACCTCACAAGTACACACATTGTAAGAATGACCAACTACTGTACTATTGTACTATTTTGTAACTCTTTTCATGACTTTGTTTGACCACAAAAGTTGGACCCACAATGAATTCATTACTACTTGGAATTTTAAGTCCTTCCAATGATTCAACGACTAATCTTCATAATTAGCCCTCAACTAAGTTGATTCTCTTGATCAAACTTACATGAACTTTGACGAGTACTTCGTTTACTTGTAAATAATCCCTTGAGATTTTCAAGCTTAACATGAAACATTCACTTTCATCATTATTCTCAATACCACAGAGAAACTTTTGGTGAAAATATAAGGATTTAATCACCCCAACAATGCAACAATTACAAATATTTTGTCAAATGTATTTGATCTCTTACCCAGACTGATCTTTTGGTGCCCAACATTAGCTCCTTTGTAGACTGAGTTTTGCCGATTTGCTTTAGGAGCATTATAGTAGCTTTGCACTTTGCCTGATACATACTAAATAGTTGAATATATTTCAACAAATTGATATAAACCTAGTCCAAGGCTCAAATAAAGATGGAATATTGTCCCAAGAATGCTCTCAAAACTAAAGATAGAGATGGATCAAAATACCTTAAACCTCACGAGAAACCCTTTGTCTCGAATCCTCAAAGACTTGGAAGAATCACATGTAGCTTCAAGTACCTCGATGTTGCAATCTTCAATCAACTAGAGTCAGATCTAGTTTCCTTCGATTTAAGAACGAGTCCACGAACCTAAATCTAAGGTTGAAGAAAGTAAGATTGATTCGAGTCCACGAATCAATTTGCTAGTCGAGTCCACGACTAGCCACTAATTGAGTCCACAATTAGCCATAAGGTTTCTTACACAAGTGTAAAGAAAAACTTAAGAATTTTATTGAATTAAAGCCTCCTCAAAACTGATATGGATGTGCCCTATTTATAGGTATAGGGCAGCATTGTAATCTAAATACAATGGGAAAAAGAGTCCTAAACCTAATCTAGAAAACAAGTAAATAGAGTTTTATTTAGAAAATGATTTAAGGAATCCTTTCTAAATACAACTAGTGTTTTCTCTTTAATTCTAAACAATTTAAAATAAATGATGACCACAAATAATAAAGCTGATTTGGGCCTCGGATCTTGTGATTGGCCCAATTTGTAATCTTAATGGATCTTCATTATGTTGGGCCGCATCATCCTCCCCTTCTTGAAAAATGATTCGACCTCGAATCTTATAAACATTGTCTTCGATCCGTGACATCACTTGAAACGGGCCACTATAATACTTTCCTCTATCGAATGGAATTATTATTGGAATTCCTTGATTTTTCCACCAATGATGCTTTAAGGATGTACTTTTTGGCCTTGTGATGAGCCCACTATAGACCCTTATTGGATTCCATGTGTGCTGGTTCCTATTATTCTCCCATTCTTGAAAAGGATTCGTCCTCGAATCCAAATCTTCAATGAAAGACAAAGTAGCAAGCTCACTTTCTGTTTTATCACGCTCGTGGAACTTTTTCTTGGGGTGCTTGACACGAGTCGCTCCAATCATCATCCTACAATCAACAAGTAAGGCAATTAAGTCTAATGACACATCATGGAATTTAAACATTCTGGATAGTAATAGATCAGCAAAACGAGACATATTAAATTTAGCCATCTTGTTTGAATTTTTAACAAGCACAACATCTTTCCTTCTAGAGCTTAAGGCTAAACCAAACACAAAATCCATGGAAATATCAAGTAATGTTTTAGATGTATTGTGGTGGTAAGTAGCACAATTATGAACATAAGATTCTGCATCTTTTTTCTTCTTTGGCCAATGAAAATATCCATGCAAAACATCATCACTCTTTGGAAAACCAAAGTGTCCTTTATGTGAATCAACAATTAAATCATTACCCAAAACAAAGCAAAAAGTGCCAATCCCATTGACTTTGAACCAAAACCCCTTGAGCAAGTAGTGTTTCACATAAGAAGTTTTCAAATGTGCCTTATAACTTTCCAGTGATTCCTTATCTCTATCAAACAAAGTTTTAGTAAAATCAAAATTAAGGAATCTTGGATGTATGGAGGCTAACAAATTTCTAACACATCTAGCAAGTACGTCATTAATAGAAACATGGCAAAGAAATCTAGAGAATAATAATGCATGCTTTTGGAATAAAAGTGAGTATAAAGTGACTCCCCTTCCTTTCTCTTGCATACTATCCTTTTTAGTTACCAAGAGATGTTGCACTTTGACACCTTGGGCTGGTCCTTTCCACTGTATCACTGATTGTGGTCCCTTTGTTTGGCTACAAACTGAGTTAGAGGATTGGAGTGGTGATTGCAATTCCAAACATGGAGGTTCCACTTTTCTCTCTATGATTTCTTCCTTCTTTGAGGCTGGTTTGAGAGCTTGCATCAATGTCAATTGAATTTTTTCTACTTGTTTAGGATACAAACGAGACAAGAAATATGTAACTCCATTCATGTGAAACACATAAGTGTTCCTCATTCCATCAGAACTTATTTTTCTGTCAAATTGCAATGGTCTACCTAACAAGATATGAGCAACCTGCATTGGGATATTATCACACAAGATTTCATCAGAGTAACTGTTAATAGATAAAGGAATAAGATCCTGTTTGGTTACTCTAGCTTCTCCTACATCAGTTAACCATTGCAAACAATAAGGATTTGGATGATTAAGCAAAGGTAACTGGGGAAATTTAACCATAGCTGCACTAGCCACATTTGTGCAACTTCTAGAATCTATTACCATAGCACAAGCATTCTCTTTAATTGACCCTTTAGCACAAAATATATTTTCTCTTTGAGACCCATATTCTTTTAAAGGGTGAACATTCAAAACCTTCTTAACAACAACAGTATGACAAGACTCACTATCAACATATTTTAAATCAGAATCTAAAGGTATGAATGGTTCTCTCTCAACATGTTCATTGGGGGTTTCAAAATGGTCACAAACCTCATCCTCAGATTTATATTCAAGACAAGAAGTAAAATTTTCAGATTGTGTTGTTATCTTAACTACCCTCTTGTTAGGGCAATCACGAGCTATGTGGCCTCTCCCATTACATCTATAACAAATCAATTCTCTATCACGTTGAGGCTTCACTGCCTCACTTACCTTTTCTTTACCTTTGTCTCGTGAATCATCTCTTGGAAGAGGACGTTCATCACGCCTTTGAGAGGTGGAACAAGTGTTGTTCCATTTTGATGCACCATTGTTGGCCTTGTACATTTTCATCTCTTTGATTTTTGCCTCAGATTCACGTGCAGCATACAAGGCATCATAAAGGGTGTCATATCTCTGAATACTCATTCCACATCGAATTTCTAAGTTCAATCCATGTACGAAACGAGCAATAGTTTTTGCCTCTTCTTCATGTATGTTGCCCTGTTCAAGCAAAATATTTATAGTTTGGTGGTACTCATCAACTGACATTGTTCCTTGCACGGTTCCCTGCAATTTTCTTTCAAGATCATAGAAACAAGATTTAGGACGAAAGGTTAGACGCATATCTTCCCTCACTTGAACCCAAGATTCATAGGGAATAAAATTAGCAACTCGCTCTCTATTTTTTTTTTCGCCACCAAGATAATGCATACCCCTTAAAAGATGTAGAAACTAGCCTAATTTTTGTAAGATCAGAATATTGCTTTAAATAAAAAAGAGTTTCAACAGCATTCTCCCATTCTATGTAT